ATGCATATATTTCTTTTTATTATGAAATCATTACTGAATATAAAAAGTCTGGGTGGTCCATTACAGTAGCTTGCTGACTTCACCTCTTGCTCAAAAGCTTTCTGATGATTTAGTCTGAGTGACATCATTTGGAACGGCCTCCTCGTGTGCCACTTATTTTCCGCTGTGGCTTTGCTAAAATAAAATCCAGAGAATGATTAACATCACAAGATACATCAACTCACAGAGCACAGTCGGCCTCTGTATCAAAAGACTGAAGGCATACCTTTTGTTGCGCTTTTCCTGCAGGCTACAGAATTCCTTTTAGTTTTAATCTCTTCCTCCACACGTTGGCTTTTGATTGTATTCTTTCCAGTCTTTGGAGGAACTTAAGAAAGGGCAACAATTACAGTGTAATCAGGATCTGAATACTAATAATACTGAAAGTAGCCAAATAAATAGTGAAGGTGAGATTCTGACCTTTTGAGCTTCTCTTTCCTCTTGTTTTTGGTTTGTTCTCATCTGCAGGTGCTGCATTGATCTTTTCTGTGTTTTTTTTCGGTCTTTTTGAAGCATTTTGTGTTTTGGAGGTTGCATTTTCTTTCTTTACCTTTATGTTTTCCTTTTTCTTAGCAGGTTTTGCTTTTGCAATGCTGTCGGTGCGTGTCTTTTTGGCTTTCTAGAGTGAAGCAGATGTTGTTTAAAGTTCTTGCATCTGGTCATGAACTCAAGTGTCAGAAATGCAAAGTAATGACATCTCACTTTTGAATCAGTGTAATCGTGATCATCTTTCTGCCTTTTCCACATAATTTTGCGAGATTTGGCACCTAATGGAGGAATATTTTTAGTTACATGTGACTTTAACATTCTTAGGATCAATCATCTGTTTATATTGTAGAGGGATTTTACCTTTGGGCACCAGAGGACCAGTATCCCCCTCAAAACAAAGCAAGCAATGAATCAAAATCAGATTGAACTCTAAATGTGTTTCAGAATGGTCTCCAGGATTACAATTAAGATTTGCAGAGAATTACAAACACATACTTTGAACCAAATTGTCCGTCCATTGTGGTCACCTAATGAGTTCATTCCATCCACAGAGTAACATCGCATCCAGGCTTGAAGCACAGAATACTTCCCCTTTGCTGGAGCATAACCATTTTCACCTTAAGGTATAAAAAAAATGAAGTAAAAAAGCAGATGCATGGATGCTGATCTAAAACTAAAAATGAAATGTCGCTGACACTGGGATTTTGTACAAGGTATGCAAGTACCATCATGCACAAATCATAGCATGTACAACTGTGCAAAATCAGTTAATAAATCACAATTGGTTGCAGTATAAGCCCACCCAATTGCACCACCTCCAATGGAACAGTGTGACACAGCGAAAGAAGATCTGGGGTCTCGGCTTTCACCACTTTCTTCCCGGTTTTATCTGTTGACTGAATGAAACAGTACAAAGCGATGATTTATGCCAAACAAAGTGCCTATTAATACACTGACACAGACAAGAAGGTCAGATTCCTTCACCTCTACAACTGTAATCTCCTTTTTGACCTTGTTTTTATCCTCGTCTTTCAGTACAAGTCCCTCTAGAACTGTTCTTGCCTTCACAAACGGAGGGATTTGTAATCTGAAAAGAATGGGGAAAAATCGGTTACTTTTCCTCATAATTAGACTTAGATTGACATCATAGTAGGCCATCAAAGAGAGGAAAAGTTCAAAGGTTTCATGTACAATTAAGTAAAACAATGGCTGATTATTCAACTAAACAATGTGGTTTTATTCTTAAAGTTGAGATTTAGAAATGCACTTTTCATGAATTTTACATGGTAGATTTCGATTGCCATTCACGTTTTACAAGCAAACTGGGCTGATTGCGATAGAGACTGCTATTTTTTTTTCTTCAAGCAACAGACAAGAAAGAATGAAAGCGTACATGAACAAGAAATGCAATATAGCATCAGAAGTTGTTTTTGTTGTTTTAAATTTGAGCAAAAAACAGAGTGGTTTGACTTTTTGCTTTGTAGTATTACATAAAATCAAATAATATAAAATCCTTTAAAATATCTTATGAAATTGAAAATAAATTATGAAACTTTTCAGACATGACAGCTCGCAATTTTGGGAAATGACATCGATCGGCCAAAATAAAACAAACAAACCATAGAAAGATTGCTGCTGAATGCAATGTTAGGAGCAAAAAAAACGGTAAGTTCCAACTGATGGCCAGCTGACCAGAGCATCTATTAATTCAAATCTGGAAAACATTAGAAAGTGAGTTACCTGAACAAAATCTCTGCTCGAAGATAGTTCCCAATCCCATTGAAATACTTCTGATTTAAGAGCGCCTCACAGATGGGTTTGTCAAATGTCTTGTCAGACAGATTTGAAAGAACATTCTCCCTGAAATATTTAAATATGCAGTTTTAGTAATCACAGATAAGCTGACAATGTAAACTGTCCTTTTCGTATGAATTGCAACTGCCGAGAACAGTGTCGCATTGTGCCCAATATCAGCATTAACAATTTCCATGATGTAACATTACATGAGCTGTGATGGCCAAACCAGAACAGGAGACTAATCAAATTGTACGGCACAATGTTTCTATTGAATATTTAATGTGTACAATATGATTATTAAGTGCGGTCACATAAGCATCAGCAATCTTTTGCATGCAAAAAAATGTCCATTGTCTCAGTAGTGCAGTGATGTATGAAGCACAGCACATGAAGAATTCACTTTGAACCAAGCAGCTTTCTGTTGGTCAGGGTGGTGAATTCAAGTCAAAATGGGCGAGATCTTAAAAGAGAGGAAACTCCCGATCTCTATTGGAATGACTTAATTTTACCAGTGAAATTGTGCTGAGAATGGTAAATATGACTGCACCTTTACAGTTGATGCATTGTGAAACGCTGTCACAATTCATTTTTCTCTCTCACCTAAAGCTCTCGTATTCAAACATGACACAAGGCCCTCTGTCTTTTTGCCAGGTCCCATTTGGATGCCAGCTGCCAAATCTGCGGGTGTCCTCAAAACTCAACACCCTGCGTGGGTTTTCATTAGTGTAGAACCGCAGATGGGCGTGTTTCGGAAGGTCATCTACTGAGGTGAAGCGGAAAAACCCTGACATCCCAAATCGGAAAACCACATCCATCGGCTGCTGGGACTGATGCTTGGTGACCTTGCGTTTACCGTCGTCATCATTTTTAATGGGTGTGAGGGAGAGTCTGACCTCTTTTCCTCTGGAGTGGGCTTTGATGCAGTAGGCATCGCAGCAGAATGGGACCTCAGGATTTTTATTCACTTCAGATTTCTCTACAGCTCCACTAAACACCAGCCCTTCACACATCTTGTTGACATACAGGCTGGCCAAATGAAGCTCAGGGCCTTCTGGCATTCTTGAGCAGGAAATGAAGATAGATCAGAAACCTAAACGTGAGACAGCAAGGGTTCAGGTGTTGTTACAGAGAATCAGGAACAAAATAAGGCCTAAAGACTCAAAAAAAAAAAAAAAAAACTGTGACAATTGATAAATAAGAGGTGATAACCTTCAGATTTTAAACCTCAGGAGGTCAAAATAAATTGTTTTCAAACTAAGTTTGAACTAAATATCTTGTGAATTTAGCAACTCTGTAACTAGTTTCTCTAAAACAGTTCATTTTTTTGTAGTTTTCTTGGAATAATCTTTACATGAACACCCAAAATGAACAGACATAAATGATAAAAAAGTCAAAAAAGGAATACTTTTATGACTAAATAGGTAACAGAGTTGAACATTTAACCTAACTTTTAAACTTTAACTTAACTAACTTTTTAATTTTGAGTAACTTGAGTAACAGTACTGAAAGTTGCTCGCCAAATTCAGTCACCTCTACAACCTGTGTAAATATTTAGAAATATGTTATTCTGTACTTGTTTTTCCGCCATTTGTCACAATTGTGTTTATTATTTTCCTAATAGGTGGAAATCCTTTAGGAACCGTAATGTGCCTCTAATGCTTTAAAATATAAAGACACACCAAAGTAAACAGTAAATCAGTGGACAATAATAGCATTCATACTCCTATATGAATTTGTATACACTAATGGAAAAAAAACAGCGTTCTCTACTAGTTTTCAGGAAATCTTTCCCTCACGCTGAACGATGCTCGTTATGAAAGTGTGCTGTTAGTGCTAAGCAACTTGTACATGCATATGCTGCTACATGCAAAGTTGATGAATTGTCGCATAGCTGTGCTCAAAAACAGAAAGTCGGATCATGTTCAGCAAATCGATGATTAAATTAATTGAAGCGAATCGTGTATCAACCTACCTTTGCTCCTCAAGCTTGTTATATAATCAGGGAAACTCGCGCGGTATATGCTAACGTTACTGTTTATGAAACGGACACGGGAGGATCATGGGAGTTGTAGTTTATTTCTATAACTTTTTTTCTTACTCTGGAACATAGACTAAAAAATTATTTATTCTCTCCTTAAAAAATATTAAACAATAAAAATACACATGACATTAACATAGACAAATACATAACAAAATACATGAGGTGAGATAAATCACTAAGGGCTGTTGTTGATCAGTGTTATCCAGAGAACCAAGTGACAAATTAAGTTTCCTAGTGACATTTGGTCCAAAAACAATTAATAAAAATGATAAATCTGATTGAGACGCTCTTTAAAGTTGGTGCTCAATTTGAGCAACATTTGACTAATCAGGACATGAAAAGCTATACAAAATACATTACGTTAGAAAAACAATGTTCTTTTCTTTCTCAGAAGCACAGTTTAAATACACAGACAGATTCTGTGCACATTTCAGCAATATTATTCAACAAATGCTGACTGCTTCACAGTAGTGCATTCATCATAGTCTGTGCTTGTTTGAGTTCTGGAAAAGAAAAACAAGGACTTTTACAATAACTGCATAATATAATATACACTTACAAATATTTCAGTCTAAATTAAAGATTTATGCATTTGAATTGCATAACATTTCCATCCAAACAAGCAGCTTTCAGGTCACAAGATGTTAACTGATGGACTGGAGTCGTGTTGATTAATTATGGATTACCGTGATTTATTTTTTTTTAATCAGCTGTTTGGACTCATTCTGACGGCACCCATTCACTGCAGAGGATCCATTGGTAAACGAGTGATGCAATTCTAAATTTCTCCAAATCTGATCCGATAATCAAACAAACTCATCTACATCTTGGACGGCCTGAGAGCGAGTATATTTTCTGCTCACTTTCATTTTTTTGTCAACTATTGCTTTACAACACATTCAGTTTATTAGTACTATTACAGAACTATTACCAGTTTCATGTGTGTATGACTGATAAATATGCATCACATTGCATTTATTACTTTAAAGCGAAAGGATGGAAATGTTATATGCAATTCAAATGCATTAAACCGTACTGATCAGTCACCTGTTAGCAGTACTCTGAACTTGTCCGCAGTGATTGAGACAGTGGTGGTCTGTGTGGAGTCTGTCTCGGGATCCTGAGCCTGAAGTCTGAGCTGGACTGTGGGTTCATTCACTTGCTTCAGTTCACTGGAGCTCAGGGTGTAATCGACCCGCCAGTTCACTGCTTCCAGACCACCCACTGACACATGACATGCATCAGGATATAAATGATCTGGACTGTATTTCTATTTTTTCTTCTGTTTTTTGGAAATACTCACAGCGCAGGCTGCTCTCCCTCAGCTTTTCCTGTAGAGCGATGTGTTTATCCTCATATGATTTACACAAGCCGGTGGTGTGCTCTATAAGTGGACATGTAAATGTGTTGAGTTTTACGTATAACTTTGAAAAAGTTGATAAAGCAGATATCCTATCCTTACCTTTAGGCAGGCCAAGCTGCTGTAGTTCACTGGAAAGAGATTCACTGTCCACGTCATGCTTAGCAGCACTGGACAGAATGAAACTCAGCACTGCTATACTGGCTTTAGTGTCTCCACTTTCTGGGAAAAATTTTTATAAAAATAGACAGACAAATTAGCAAGAGCTATGGCATTAAATACAAACAGACAAGGCATTTATGTAGGTTGCATAAAATATCAGCACCATTGTCATTTATCAGCCAATATTAAATAAGTTACAATAATTATCAATAAATATTAATTCATACATTTAAAAAAAAAAAGGCATATAATTGATATTTCATTGTGCTGCTCATTTCTTCAGTTTTTACATTTTTAGATTACCTTTGACGTTATCTAAAGTCCACTTACAATTAATTTTTAAAAACACTAATAATTTACATTGTTAAATGTATCTTTAGCAAATCTCAAATATTAATTTTCCATAGATTATACGTTATAATGTTGTGAAGCCTAAATTCGCTTGTAGGCTATAGTTTAAAACTATCATTTATTTATTTATGTATTTATTTATTTATTTGTCATATCAGCATCAAATAATTTGTGGCAAACTCAAGAATAATAAGATTTAAAATGGTCTTAATAACAATACTTAAAAGAATTTTATAAAATAAACTGAATATTATTTTTACAAACAAAATAATAATAAATATTTAAATAAAAATAACAATCATATACAATCTTTCAAAATTATATTTGATAAAAATACTAATATTTCCCTAGGATAACATTTATTTTAAAAATGTCTATTAATATACTTTCGGATTATAATACGTTATAATGTTGTGAAGCCTAAATTCGCTTGTAGGCTATAGTTTAAAACTATCATTTATTTATTTATGTATTTATTTATTTATTTGTCATATCAGCATCAAATAATTTGTGGCAAACTCAAGAATAATAAGATTTAAAATGGTCTTAATAACAATACTTAAAAGAATTTTATAAAATAAACTGAATATTATTTTTACAAACAAAATAATAATAAATATTTAAATAAAAATAATAATCATATACAATCTTTCAAAATTATATTTGATAAAAATACTAATATTTCCCTAGGATAATTTATTTTAAAAATGTCTATTAATATACTTTCGGATTATAAATGTTTCCTAGAATCATTTAAAGCAGGACACTCTGCTAAAACGTTTAAGCATTTAAAACTACTCATTTTAGTTTTTATATTTGGCCTTATATTTAATATTACATTATTTAATATTTAATATACATTATAAAATTTTAATATCTGCCATAACGTGGGGAAAAAATTAAAAGCAATCAGTACTGGCCAGAATTATATTAAGAACACCTAACTTGATTTATAATAATTTTCATTTCACACTTTACTATTACTGAGATCACATGACACAAAAACCGGTTTTTACTCACCAAACTTTGCATCTGAGGTTAGTTTCGAAACTTTGTCATACTGAAAACATATAATTATAGAGTAGTAGTTAGAGGAATATCTATTTAGTAGACATTCTAACATGACTGCTGTCTTACATCGATGCCTTCATCAAGCAGATCTTTAATGACTTGCACACACAGAAGCTTCATCTTGACGCTCGACTGTGAAGGACAGCAATGAAGAGAATCACTTACAGTTAGTTTTGTGCAGACGGAAAACATAACACCTATTAACGTTAGACTTACTATTCTAGCTAAGGTGCTCATTTCTGCAAGGACCCAGTCTGGACAGTCCAGATCTCCACAAAATCGGAACCTCTGAAATAAAAGAATGCAGCAAAATGAGTTTATTAAGAATGTTTACGTCTATTGCTTAGCCTTTAAGGCGTAGCCTACTCTAAACGATTAAAGTTAGCGTTCGCTATACATAAAAAATAAAATATATATATATAATATATATAACTCTAATGGTTTCAAATATGAAACTAGAATAAACCGAGCTATCGTTCAATAAGAAATAAGATAAATAATACCATTTTGACATATATTCAGTCAGTCAGTCAGCTGATCTTCTTCTTCTTCTTCTTCTTCTTCTGGGAAGTAACGGCGGCAAGCCAGCTTTACCGTTCATTTTCGCCATCTACTGGACTATACTGGATCTATATAGACTGAATTTATCTATATACGTTGTTCCTTTTTAAAAAGATAAACAGTAACTCATATATTGCATATATATATATATATATATATATATATATTTACAACATTTTTGTAAAGAAAATAAATGTCTTCAGAGCATATGCGCGCGACGCAGATGCCAAAGATGCGCTACATTTATATTATTAGGTCTTCACAAAAATCGCACTAAAATCGTACGATTTTAAGTCGCTCTAAAGTCACCTTTTGAAAAGACAAATTACTGTAAATCGAAAGTTTAAACTACACGTAAACGCACAACGCACGTGCAAATTATTAACCGTGAATGTTTGGAAAATTACCACATGGTAGTCTCTAGCACAATCGAATTATTAGAAGGATCATGTGACACTGAAGACTGAAGTAATGATGCTGAAAATTCAAGGAATTGATTTATTGTATTTTAGAATATATTTAAATAGAAAATATTTTATTTTAAATAGAAAATTAATATTTTATATTAAATGTTTTGAATTAAATATTTAACATTATAAATAATATTTTAATAGAAAATTATTTTAAATTGTAGTCATATTTTACAATATTACAGTTTTTACCGAAATGCAGTAAAAATTAAATAAATATTTTAAGGGTGGTTCTTCAAAATCAATGTTCTAAAGCAGCGGTTCTTAATACTGTTCCTCGCGTCCCCCTGCTCTGCACACGCTCTGCATCTCTCTCTCTCTCTCTCTATCTCGCTCTCATTCAGCTCAGCTCAGCTCCAACAATGAACTGTATTTTCACATAGCTATGAGAAGCGTTAAACATGGACGCGCGTGCAGTTGCCGTACTGTATTAAAGCTTTAATCAGGATAAAACCGTATATTAAAAGCTAACAGAAGCAGTAGCATTTACAAATAACAGCGTATCTAAAAGTATGAGACAAAAAAAACAACAACAACAACATAGGCCTACCATTAAAAGCCGTGCTTGCACAGGTTCTGCACGATCCTCTTCAATAATATCCTCTGCTTCTCAATCGGGCTCAAACTGATAAGCGATATTAATGACACAGTTGTTTATAATACAACCGGAGCACATGCGCTGAGGTGAAGGGCGGGACGTTTAGACGCGCACTAGAGGCGGTTTAGCCAATCACAACACACTGGGCTAGCTAACCAATCAGAGCCCATCGCCTATATCCGAGGGCGGGGCTTCATAAAAGAAGGAAATGATCAGTGCGCTTTTCAGAGACGGGACAGAGCGGTGTGGAATAAAGGTAAATTATGTGAAAAATAATGCGTTTTTTTAAAAACGAAGCATTAACACATGTTAGACTGCACCCCATAAACACAATCAATCCTAGAAGAAGAAGAAAAAATGAACCATCCCTTTAAAACAGCACCACGCATCAGGGGGTGGAGTTGCTGTCACGTTACAAGGCGTTTCACGATCACGATTTACTACTCTGAGCGGATAGATTGTGTAGGACCATGATCCTAAAACGGCGATATTTCTCTGTCCACATCAAGGGAAATTTGGCGTATGCGTTGCTTGTCTGTGGAGCGTGCTTTCATTGCGTGTTTTGCTCTTATAATCCCAGATTAACTCTAAAACAAGGTAAGATAAAAACAGCCTACATCTTTCCTCTGTAATCAGACTAATTATTTACACCAGTCATTTGCACACGTAGTCTATTCAGAAATGCACTTATACAGTAGACTTTAATTGTTTTACGTAATCAAATGAGACAATATCTAAACATATTATATCTTACTAGAGAACGTAACTTTACCCAGATTTGTTTATTTTTCCCCAGATGATGCTAGTCTTTTATACAACAGAAATTATAGTCATACAGCCTTATTCCATCAGGAAGGATCAAACAGTCTGATTGTAGGAGGAATAAATCATGTTCTACATTTTGATGTAGACAGTCGTCAGATTGTGGAGGTAATTACTAAACTGGAACTGGTCATTAGACATTTTACAGTGTATTTATAATTACTGTAGAATTGTGATATTTTTGTTTAAATTATTTATTCAAATAATTGTACATTTATAAAAAAAAAAAATAATACATTACATTTATATAGAATAATTTTATTATAAAAAATAAAGTTGGAATATAAAGCACGGTTGAATATCATAAGTTTGAGAAGTAACTCAACATTGACCAAAGGGATATTCTAACCATGATTAAATTTAGAGTTCTGACTTTTGGCAGTGGTTGTAATCAGTAAGTCTAACCTACGTTAAATTATATATTGTGGATAGATTTCAGTAACTAGGCAATGACGCACAGACAGCTGTGTCCATATTTAATGTGTCAGCGAATGAAAAGGCCTGTTTCAGGTGTTCATGAAAGATTTATTTCCACAAACAACAAGTCCAGTCTGTTGCTATGGTTGCAATAAATAATTTAAATGTTAATTGTGTGATTGATTAGTGAAAAAATAATCCCCATGGTTGCTTTATACACATTTTGGTACATAATTGTGTACGCATAGTCTCATCTCTTGAATTTAAAATACTTTTACATCCATTTTGAGATTTTGTTCAGTAGATTTTGTGACCAAGTTATTTTTAATTTTTATAAAATTTATTTTTTTCCTTTAGAACTTTACTCTGAATCCAAGATGTGGTGAGGTGAGTTTTATAATTCTGTTGAAAAAGAGAAAAAAGAAAGAACAAACTGAGTTTTGTAGTTTGACAGTCTTACTGATATTGCTTCATCTATACAGGGCTCCTGTGAAAATGTAGTGACAGTAATTGAAAGATTTGAAGACTACACATTTGTATGTGGGACGAATGGAGAACAGCCACGGTGTTGGAAACTGGTAAGAAATAAATATACAGAGCAACATTTTTGGCATGGTCTCTGCTACATATTTAGAATTCTCTTAGTAAGAGAATGCTGAGAAAAAAGCATAGCTCTCTATTTGAAAAAAAATCAAAATATGGGTAAAACACCTGAGAAAAATCAATACAGAAAATTCTCAAAAATTAGCATTTTCTCAAAACAAATTAAAACACAGCAAACAGTTTTTATACATGCTTAGACTATATGCAGTCATGTTTCGGACCTCGCATTTGCCGACTTTACAAGTTGCATTTTTGCAGATGTGTGGTCTCATTGTAAATTTAATGTAAGTTTAGAATAAAATTGAGTGAAAACAGTCATAAATAATCATTTATTTGTGACGATTCACATTTGTATGCAGAAATATGTGAATGAGAACCAATGTCTTATTAGTTGACGCTGGACGGCAAGCCAATTTTACTTTTAATCATTCCTAGGATATGAATTTTGTATATTAACAGTTTGATTTTCAGTTTTATCAAAACACCTTTTTTGGTATTAAAAACCCTTTTTGATATCAGTAATTACTATAGTAAAACAGGAATTCTTAATATAAACAATTGCATAATTACCCACAGATATACAAATTATTGATAGCAAAAAAATCTATTTGAGCTAGTCAAAAAATGTAATTCTTGTGCTCTGTAAATGCATTTTATAGTCTAGAATATCTAATCTATATTATCTAGAATTCATATCCTACAAATTAATAAATGTTCAAATGGCTTGCCATATTTCTGATCTCTAATCATGTCTCTTTCCGGAAGTTTCCCAGAGAAAGCAATCATTCCACAGAGGTTGTAGACGGCACGGGAATCTCACCTCATACAAGTTCACAAAACTCCTTGTCGCTGGTGGCAGGTATGTGGGAGCACAAGCAGCTTAATGTTTTGATCTGCTTAGGCTTTGTGAATGAGCTGAAGGATTGTAGTTGCTTATTTAGCGTAACACCAAGGCTTTCTTTGGTTATATACAGATGGAGATCTCTATGCGGCAGCTCCTCTATACAGTGATGGAACCCTGCTGCAGTTTCGCAGGAAAGCTGGAAAACGAACCAGCGTATGGATGTATGATCAATGGGTCTCAGGTTGGTTGAATCACACAATTTTCACTACAATTACTAGAAGAAAACTTATTTAATTTATATATATATATGAATACTTATTTTATGTATAAATAGTTTTTTCTAATCGAGAACATCTCCAAATATCCCCAAAGATAAGATTTAAAGGGATAGTTCACCCAAAAATGAAAATTACCCCATGATTTACTCACCCTCAAGCCATCCTAGGTGTATATGACGTTCTTCTTTCAGACGAATACAATTGGAGTTATATTAAAAAATGTCCTGGATCTTCCTAATGCTTTATAATGGCAGTGAATGGCTGTTATAATGTAAAATAAAGTGCATCCATCCATCATAAAAAGCAGTGTTCGAACTATACCATGGAATTTGGGGGAGCCCACTTGTTTTTTTTTTATAACGTGGGGGGGGGATTTTAATCGGATACACTATACAGATCACTATACAGGATTTACCCTATTATACTTTATCGACACGAATTGATAGGTGAAACAACAAACAGCCACCCACAAATAGTCTATAAACAAAGCATCCGGCTGTCTTTGAGATCACATGAACAACGGTTAAAGTTACTCGTCGTCAGGCTACAGAAGAATACCATAATTCCTCCGTTCAATTAGGCCTAAGACATCGAGAGTCACGCAGACCTATAACAACCCAGCCACAACACATAATTGCGAATAACATGCCTTACCTTAACACAGAATCGACCACAGAGTCCAACGCTTATATTTTTTCTACGAATCTTTGAGTTAACATGTACTAAACATGAGTGGAATTTGCACCGCAGCGCCCCCACACCTTGATGCTCATGACAAGAATAGCATGTATAGTTATCTTTATTGAAGTGAATTAGGTTTAAATCGCCGTCATGCATGAATGAATGATATTTTTGCAATTTTACACATAATAATCCACGATGATCACATTACACAAAACTGAAATTGCACGTCAAAATAACACATTGTCAATATTTTTTGAGACCCCCCCAAAATTTCACAAATC